TTTAAATGAAACTATATAATTTTGATTTTACTAATCGGTGCAGTATTTCTATTTAATGTCAAAAAATTATTAGTTACTATATAAAAAAAGTAAGGAAAGCATAAATAGCAAAATATTATTTCGCATGTTTCTTCATCATATATTATATAATAAATTTCAAGTTACAATATTGTATCAATTAATATAATATAAATTATACAATTTTATTTAAAAAATTAAAATTGATTCTTATATACATATCCTTACATATCAATCTACAAAAAAATTATATCAAATTTTTATCTGAAATTCATTTCATATTTTTCGAGATAAATCGGGCATATTGTATATTATATATATATATATATAAAATGAAAAACAAAATTTTTTTTGTTATAGAGCTCAATATATTATTATCTTATAAAAAATTAAATTATCCATTGTTATTATATTTTTGTTACAATTTTATAATAAAATTTATTATATTCGTACATATTATTATTATTTTACATTAACTTATATTATTCATAATATTTTTCTGCAAAAAATCTGAAACACCCTATATATACACGAAACACTATCTCTTTATATAACTATTATACCGAACAAAAACACTCGTTTCCCTAAAAAATAATTTTATTTCCAAAATATATCTTTCCCAACTCTACGAGCGAGGAGGAGAACCAATGCTAGTTCAAAGTCGGCCATCGGGGAGGAGGATCTTCGTGCACGCGAACATCGATAAAGAAAATCCGACGAGATTTACCCGATCGAGATTTCCAACCGTCAGACGAGGGGGACACGAAAGCAATTACCGTCGTTTCGCGAGGATCAACACCAACCGAAATTTAATTCTGATCTATCACCGATCTCTCCAGGGGCTTTGGATGGAAAAGTCGGCCGGCTTCGAAAACCGGAACTCGTTTTTTTTTTTTTTTTTTTTCTTCCTTTTTGCCCGTACCTATTATTTTCCGATAGATACCCAGCGATGTGGCGTAATTACGCAAATGAATTCAAACGGTAGCGGATCCGACATGATTCAAACTGGAAAGAATCAACCGACGAATGATTCCGCGGCTCGGTGCAATTACTTGGCCGGATAAGAGGAAATGGGGATACGAGGGCAGAGAATACGAGCGGGTTTCCGTCGGAAAGCGGAGCACCGCCCTCTGGGAAATACGTCTTGCATCACTGCTAGCGAGGAAATTTAATATCCGAATCGACGCTCGCGCCGGTTGACGCGAGCCTGTCTCTTTTCACTCGAGGCTATCCGGCCCCGCTTTGTCGTTCCTTTCTTACGCCCTTTATTTTAGTTATATTCTATTGTATGTATTTATCGTAGGATATACAGAGTGTCGATATATTCGTGGATATATATATAACATTGGAAATTCTCTTCGATTTTTGAAAATAAATAGAAAAATGTCGGTTGAGATTTATTTAAGAACTTTGCACGGAATAAAATGTAAAGTTTGAAGAAAGTTATGTGAGAAGTGGACGATATCTTTTGTGATGAAGAAAAGGTTTGTTTATAAGTGAAGTTTCCTTATTAAAAGGAATAAATTAAACTTGCAGATTTCTACAAGATATATAGAGTTTAAAATTTTATTATTATCGTTATTATTAATTTTCTTACTTTATTTTAAAGTAAAAGTTTCAAATATTTCGCTACATCTCCAAGAAAGAACGAAATGCTTATATATTTTTTTTTTCTTCGAAAAATCTTCGAAATGTTGAGACGAGGCATGAGCCAATAAAAATTTAAGAAAAATTCTCTCTTACTTTGATAAATCGACGAATCGAAATCCTATTTCGTGGCAAATTATCTTTTTGCTCTCGCGAAAGAAATAATGTCTCGCGCCACCGAGCGACCGTTACTCAACGGAGCAAATTACTTTTCCCAATGAGAAAGATATCGCTTCCGGCACTTGGCCACGCTACAAACGGAACAACAGTCGCCGCGATTAAGGCGTCGTTAACCGCGCTAACACGGTATATTTGATTTTGCTATCTCTTTGTATCTCTTGGCAAAACGACGAAAATAAAGTTTTCCGCGATAATTTAAAACTACGAGTTTCAGCCACGCTGAAGGAGATTGTTTGTAATTCGTATTCACGAAATGGAATGAGAGGGAGAATGAGGAAGTTTGAAAGGTTTCTTGGTAAGGCTAATCACTCGGTTAACCCTTTCGTTACCGTGGACAAAATATCCATGATATCGTAGAGTTCTATGGCTCCCAATGGTAGTTTACGGTATCCAAAAAGATATTTGTTAGAGAAATGATTTCTGGGGAGTAATAAAGTTATTTTTTAGTATATCGATTTTTGGTATTTTTTTTTAATTATTATTATTTTAATATAATCTAAATTATTATTTTAAAATATATAATCTAAATAATAATCTAATATAAATAATTTATATAATCTATATAATCTATAAATAATCTAATATAATCTAATATAATCTAAATTATTATTTTATTAAATAATTTAATACAATTATTATTTTAATATTTTAATATAATTATTATTTTAATATAATAAAAAATTATATAAATGATATCATTTTAATATAATAATTAATGTAATTAATTATTATTTTAATATAAATAGATTGCTTTAATTTATTAATGATTTAAAAATAACTTATTTTTTTATAAGTTATTTTTAGAAAGAGAGAGAGAAAGAGCTGTTATATTATTATTATTGGCAGACTTGGTATAATGTAAATTATAAAATTATGCATTCTTCTAGGAAAGATTGAATTAAATATTAAGTTTAAATTATACTTTCAAATACTTATTCCTAATATTATGAATGTTATTAGATTCAGAAATTAAAATTTCTGATATTTTTTATTATATCTCTTTATATATTTTATTGAAGTTTTTAAAATATATATAAATCCTAGATTAAACGATAAGACCATTAATGGATTTTCTTTATCTCATTAAATTTATCTTATATAAGGGCGGATTAAAGAATAATCGCAGATTATTTTTTTTTTGCGAAGATAAAATTAAAAAAAAAAAGTTAGAAAACAATGCTATAAATTATTATTCATTAAATGGTTAATAATTAAAATATTCCAATGAAAAACTGAGATTAAAGATTTGTTAGAAATTTTGTCGTTAATGATAAATAAAAAGTACGCCATACTTTTGGTAAATTGATTTTTCTTACATTTATTTTACGTAAGAAACCGAAAATGATTAAAATATTCCAATGAAAAACTGAGATTAAAGATTTGTTAGAAATTTTGTCGTTGATGATAAATAAAAAGTACACCATACTTTTGGCAAATTGATTTTTCTTACATTTATTTTACGTAAGAAACCGATTCAAACCAATGATTTAAAAACATCGAAGATGATTTAACGTTCTTTTCAATTGGAAAACGCGCTTTTTTTTGTCGGATGAACGTTGGATAGACGATAGATGGACGTTTTACGCTACTGTCGACACGCCAAACCAGTTCACTCCTTCGGATCGTATTTCATGCTATCGATCGGCTTATCCTATGCACCCTCCTATATATCGCTGGTTGCAAGAATGTTCATCGAAACGATATCGACGAGAATGCATCTCTCTAATTAATAATAGACTTCGAGCTTTGTTTCACAATGGTTTATTTTAATTTTTTGCGGATTTCGTTGTATTTAATTCAATTTTATTTTATTTCTTACGTTGCAATAGAAAAGATATCTTATATTATTACACATAATATTATAATTATATTATTGTAATTATAATACAATAATAAAAATTATGTTATATGTAATAATATTGTTACATGTTACATATAATAATATAAGATAGAATAGAATTATGAGACGGAGAATAAAATAATATTTACCTATAATAGTGAGGTTTGATAAAATGAAGATTATGTCAGCTTTTTATAACAAATGTTTTTTTTTTAAGAAATTTTATTATATTAAAATAAAGAATTTTTACGTGTTTATTTAAAAATTTTTATCACGAATTTTATCACGATTTATTTTATGATTTTCAAAAAGAAGAAAGGATGATAGTTTCAAAATATTAATGGAGATTTGAAGTATTTTTGATATTTGATATAATAACCAAATGATGAATATATAAAATAGTTAAAATTTATTAACAAAATAATCAAATAAATTATAATGATTCATTCAAATACCAAAAATGAACAAATTTAAAAAAAAAAAAAAAGAGTCTGTAATTCGAAGTTATTATCCAATAGTTATCATTTATTATGGATATTGTGATTATAAAATATTTCCTTCGATTTTTAATTCTCAATTAAAAAATCACAAAACCGAAAATGAAATTCTTTCTTTTTCTAAATTTTTTTACATTAATTTGAAGATTCACGCTTTAAATTTTTAAATACCTGTATTTCAATATCTTATGTATGCACCTATACATATATTGAAGTGGCAAAACGATGGTCGAAATTTGTGATTTACTCGTGCATTTCTATTTGCCGCTACTGGAACGCATAATCCGCAAGAATGCGAATGCGAGACGAATGCGGCAGAATGGAAAGCCACGTGAAATCGCGTTAACTAATCCAAACGTGGCCCCCACGTCGCAAAGTTACACTCGATTAACCCTTCCGCCATGGCAACTTGAACTTTGTCTCGACCAAGTTTCTTGTTGGCGTAGAAATCTCTTTATATGCATCTTCTTTGCATATAGAGAGGTTTATTTGTTATATTTATGGTTTGAAGAAAATCCTTTAATGTAACAGAAGACAATAGAAGAAATAAAAACATGAAACTACACAAAGTGCGAAAATAATGAAAAATAGAAATATTGTATAAAAATTAAAAATATTTCTAAATATATACGTACATTTTTTTTTAAGTATATTAGAATTATACCATATTTTTAAATAATAAAATTAAAAGGTGGATGAAAATCTTTCAATTTCACCCAAAAAAAAAAAAAAAAAAAAATTGAAGACACAAAAATAAAAGTTAGAAAAGAGACGAGGATTCACGAGATTTTTCTTTTTTTTTTTTTTTTTAATTACAGATCTCGCTCCCTTCGGATTCAGTCGCTCAACGTCGACCTTTCACAATGGCCGCTCGTTTATGGTAAGTTTTAAGCAGCAGGGAAGAAGGAATATCTTTCCTGATTTAGATTTGTAATTCGCGAGACACCGTTTCGAACCATTTTCTTGGACGAGACACGGACCTTAAATCATACCTATCCACGCAGGATTTCCGACATTCGCGTCTTCGCCTCCCTTAAATCCTTCTTATCCGATGAATTATGCCGGCGTTAAAACTGTCTAACGAATTTCGTTGAACAAGCGCGTGCGCGTACGCGTTGGAGATGATCCAACGTGGTAGCGAGCGAAGGAATGCCGTGTCTGCGACACGGCGACGAGGGAAAAAAAAAAAAAAAAAAGAGAAAGAAGAAGGTTAGCGGAAGGAAAGCGAAGAAACGTGTGGTGGTCGTTAAATCTTTCGGATACCGCATCGATGAGCCAGTGTTTCCCAACCAACCCTTTTATTCTAATGAGTTAATTGTTACTGCAATCATAAGATCTTATAGAAATTTTAGGAAATAGAAGAAGATATTTATTAATGTATTTATAAGGCATTACGATTCATAAACATTATATTTTAGGTCAGTCAGGGTAATTGAAAATATTGTTATTGTATTTTAAATATTGGTATGTTAATGTTTATTTTTTATGTTAGGTAACTATGAAAGTAAATTTCTGTAGTTTAATATATCTGTTAATTAATAAGAAGATGGAAGTCTGTGTGTTTGTTTTTCATTTTCAATTTTTTCTTGTTATAATTTTTCTTTTTATTATAAAAAATGAGAGAATTTTTTAAATTATTTAATATTTAATAATATTCTTCTTTTTTTTATTACTTCAAAATAATAAATAATAATTTTTATAACAATTAATATAATATTTTTTCTTGAAAATCTATACTAGAAATATTTTGAAAACTAGATAGACTAAATTGTATGAATCCTATGAAACAATTGTCATAGGATATTTTTTATTTTATAGATTTTTTTTTCTTTATAAACGAAAAAAGATGTTATTACGTCAAAAATAATATTTTTTTCCTACGAATTTTTATTATTTTTTCAACAATCAATATTTTCAAATAATAATTTTACTTGTATAATTATTATTTGTATAATTTAAACATAAAATTTTTCGTTTAACGCAAAAGAGGACGAAAACATTTGAAATATGGAAATTTTTCAAAAACATCATTTAAAAAAACAAAATTAAATTTTATCCTGAAATTTTGGAAAAATGTTTTTAAAAAATTAAGACAGATTTTTTGTGTATGTTGCTAATTTCAAATACAAATTATTACAAATAAATTGAAATTAATGCTAATTAAAACAGTTCAAATTATGTGTGAATTGTAAAATGATACAGTGTCGTATTTCAAAATTTGCAAATCTTGCAAAATTTAATACATGATTATCATCACGATTATAAAGAAGGAGAAAATATATAATATAAAATATATTGAAAAATCTTAAATTTATAGATAAAAAGATAAAGAAGACAAAAATTCTCATTAGACTAAAAAAACTCATTAGACTAAATCTATAATTTTGCTATTTCTGTGAAAAGAAAGGACTTCTATTATTTATTCCATTCTCACATAAAAATTTTATTTTATTAAGTATTGAAATATATTGTATACATATCATTGAATTATAAAATATATTTTATTAAATTTAAAGTTCTATGAGAAAGAAAAATAAAAAAGAAACGTTTTTCTTTCGTCTATTTAATACAATTACTATTGATACTCAATACATATAATCAAATTACAAAAATACTCCTTTCCATTTTTTACAAAACGAATTCTTGCATAAAAAAATATTTGCACCAAATTTTTATCAATCCTAAATCTCCTATTTCACTATAAATAATACAACAAATATTCGTTCGTTAAAACGACAAAAACGACTTTTTCCCATCCCCGAACTAACATGTGGCGCCAACTTCCGCGTAATCGCGTAATTGGTAGCAGGTGTCGAGTGAAAGATTCGAGCGCGAGATCGTTCGCGAACGAAGAAACGAACGAAAAGAGAGAAGGTGGTTGCACGACACTGACGTGGGCAAAAGTCAGAAAGGGGGGAAGGATGTGACAGCAGCCGAATTGGCGGCCGTCGTTGCAGTTGGCATCCGTGTCTGTGTCGCTCTCTATAAATAATTGGGGGAATCCCGTGGCGGCAGAAGAAATTACCGCGAGGTGAACGCGGCACGATGTCGTCGAAATATTCGCGCGACTTCTTCTTCCCCTTCGCCACCGCCTTCTTCTAATTTTGGCCGCGACCGACGAAAACTCTTCGACCGGCGCGCTCCCGTCTCCTTTTTCTTTCATGGCCGAGAACGTCTGCCCGACTTTGCTCCAATTTCTATTTTCGACCGAGACGCCGAAACTTTCGGCGATAGATACCGTTTCGCGATCCTCTCCACCGAAAATCGAGACGTCGGGGTCGTTGTCGCGGTCGGATATCGAGGCGAGCCGTTCGCCTCGAAAAAGATTAGAGTTGAGAGCGAGGCTGGTGGAAATAAAGTATTGAGGGAGAGAGGCATCCTCGAGGAGGATTGAACGGAGAATGTTAGAAGGAGTCGAGTTAGTGATTCTGGTCTAGTAAAAATCATATCGATCGATACATGTTATTTTTTGAAATAATTTTGATGAGCTTGTTGTGGGGAAATTATATTTTTTATTTATTTATGATTTGAATAAGTTCCTTATTTTAAATAAATTATTTTGATATAATATAGTATAATGATTTCTGAATTTACACATTCTTATTTTGAGATAAAATATTAAATTTTAGAAAAATTTTATTGTTATTTTTATTTTTTATTATATATTTGAAATAATTTGGAAATTTAATAAATAAATAATTTGAAAATAATTTATTTTAAGAATTTATATGTAGAAATTTTTTCTTTAAATAGATTTTTTATTTTTTATTTTGAAACAATTGATTTTTTTTTTATTTGTTATTTCTGTTTTAAATATAAAATATCCAATCTTGCTTGGATTACAAAAAATTTTTTAAATTTGCAATTCTTATTCGTCAGATAATATATAGGCATATTTCGGAATAACTTAAACTGATGTAAAGTTCAGTTATATTATATATATAACTTATATTATATTAAAGTTTACTTATATTATATTATATATATTATATATAAATTAATTCGATAAAATTGGAGAATTCATCGTAAAGTAATTGTGATATAAAATAAATCTTAACGTATTAAAAATTTTGTAATTATTAATTATTTTTATCTTATTTATGTAATATAAATACTTTCTTTTTGTTTTCATTTACTATTGTAATTTAATTTAATAAATATTTTGATTTTTTAAAATTTAAATTGTATTACAATTTACTTGCTCTCAGATTGTACTGTTATTTTCTTTGATTTTTAAATATTATTATTATTAAATAATTTTATTAATTAATAACTTTATTATTATTTGTCATAAAACAAAAAAATTTTGACTCAATAATATTAGATAAATATACAAGATTCATATATAAAAATTTTTATTGTAATATTCTTTGAGCTATTACATTTCAAAATTCAAAATTATCTTCATCCTCTCTTTCTACCACACAAATTTATAATAAAAATTTTCAAATAAATAGCATCTAATTTAAGAATAAATTTAGAAATCTTAACAAAAACAACCGTATAAAAAAGAAATAACAAAAATCACGACCTTTCAACAATTAGAATCGCTAGTTACCATACGGTAGCAGTTATAACCGACCTATACTACTGTTTGAAGTATATCTTCGCGAATGACGTCGCCTCTTCTCCTTCCCTTATCCCCTACTTATCCCCAATCAGACGAAACCAACACAAATCCGAACATCAATTTTCGCAAATAACCAGAATAAATCTGCCACGATTCAACTTCTCTCCAACCGTTTCTTTATCGTCCCGTTGTTTTCTAGCCCGTCTAAACGAGCCATCGATCATGGGGGATCACTGTAGACACCTCGAGGGGAGAGAGCGTCACGTTTCCCCTTTGACGTCCCACGATTAGCAGTTATCTCGGCTAATCGGTGTTCTGGGGTCTCTGTCGCAGACGAATCCGGCGCGCATAAGAAGCGAGCAAAGCGGCGGGGCGGCGGCGGCGTCGTCCGGAAGCGAGGAGCAGAGAAGAAGCGGCGTGGTGCCGGCGCCGGTCCCGATACCGGTCCCGGTGCTCGTGCCCCTCGGACCGAGCAGAAAACAGGGGCAAGAGGCCACGTTTCCTTTCGGCCAGGTACGCTCGCACTACGGTCCAAAGTGGCTAAGAGCGTAAGTCCTCATCGAGTGCACCAGGAGTGCTCGAGCGGAGGGGAGGTGCAGGTACAGGTGCAGCAGGAGAGACGAGCACCGAGGCGCATGCCTTACCTGGGGCCTGATATGACAACCCGGCTATCCGCCATGTTTTACACGGTCGAAGTCGGGGACACCAGATTCACCATTCTCAAGCGGTATCAGAATTTGAAGCCGATCGGTTCCGGTGCACAGGGAATCGTTTGGTGAGTATCTAAGTATCGGTGAGTCGGAAGTAATTATTGTTAGTTCGATTTTTTTGACCGATTTTACTTCGTTACGGCTTTAAGTGGTCTTAAGTGGTCTTTCGAAAAGATTAATAGAAGTTAAACCGATATTGGTGTAATATGAAAAATCAAGTGATTCTAACATTTTTATAATGAAACCATGAATTGATGTAATGATTGATAATTTGGAATATAGAACCTTGTATTTAGCAAATAAATTATTTGTTAATGGTAATAATTTTTTAATAACAATATACTTTTATTTTATTGATTTTCAATTATAGTTAGAGATACAAAGGTTCAAAATTCAAGTTTTCCTAATAAGCTAAAATTTTTGTTTATTTAATTCGATAATATTCGTTTTTATTATAGAGATTATTAGATAAATCTAACTGATATCTATCCGTGTCCACGTCTTTTTATTAACATTTCTTAGATCAATGAGTATATCAATTACAAGTCCTGTCTCAAGATGTTTAAAATCCTGTCTAAGTAAAGTGAAAGTCCTGCCCATTCCAATTTGGGTCACCAGATATTACTCTTACACGCGGTTAATTATCGGTAATTAATTCCAATGTCCATTATTACAGATCCAAATATCCATTTTGACGTCTCTGTAGCATTCACTACTTAATCCTGAGAAAGATAAGATATTTTATTACTATTGAGCAGAAAGTACTTGAAGGCTTCACAAATAATAATTGAATATTCTCTGTTGGTAATAAAATATATACATTGAAAGTAAGTTAAATATTTGAGATTTTCGTATTATAAACTTTAGAATGAAATGAACTTTATTTTGAAGTATTAAAATTTGTTTTGAACATTTCTTTGTGAATTCTTCTACGTCAATCCTTTTATAGGATTTTGACATAAAATTTTTAATTGTCGAAATTAATTGATTCAAAAGTTATATATTTATAAATTTTCACATTTTGGTTTTTTATGTGATTGAAAAATAAAAGCGTCAATACACGTCAAATTAATTAATTAAAGATCTATATGATACAATTATTTATTCAATAAAAAAAATATATATATAATATTGTTAAATCACGTCAACGATATGCAAAATCATATTTATATATTGTATATTCTCTTTCTCACATCGGATCGCAATATTTATTTAAAATTAAATTAGATTTTAGTTCTCGGATATTTTATAACAGTTGTGCTAGTATGATTCCAATTTGAAATTTAGATTTTGACACGATTTAAGCAAAATGAAATTTGAATTTGGCGCTGATGTTTCGAATTTGAAAATTGAAAAATTCAACATATATACAATTTATAAAAATAATAAATTGAAAATTTTATATCAAACTTTTATATCAAAAAATATCCAGAAATTAATATTATCATCCTCAAAAATATAACCTCAATCTATCATATTTCATAAAATATAATCTTGAAATATCTTATTTTAAAGATACCTTTAGAATATCTAAACATTGAATCTTTAATAATTGTATTGCAATTATCTTTCAGAATAATGGACAAAAAGTAAAGTCATTTTGAGTCGTCCTTTCAATTTTATTTTATTTACGTAATCGCAATAAGCGCAGTTATAATTCGCTTCGTAACAGTAAAAAAATAATCGAGGTTATGACCAATTATAAATACACGTATACTTATTTAGACATGTTTGTTTCAGCGCGGCATACGACACGGTGACAGCGCAGAATGTCGCGATCAAGAAACTCTCGAGACCTTTTCAAAACGTTACGCACGCGAAGAGGGCCTACAGGGAATTCAAGCTGATGAAGCTGGTCAATCACAAAAACGTAAGTTTTTTTTCCTCCGTGTCGCAATAAATCTTGCGATTCGAAGATTATTTTTTGCCGGCAGATAATCGGTTTGTTGAACGCGTTCACGCCACAACGGTCCTTGGACGAGTTTCAAGACGTTTACTTGGTGATGGAACTTATGGACGCGAATCTATGCCAGGTAATCCAGATGGATCTGGATCACGAACGTATGTCTTATCTGCTTTATCAAATGCTGTGCGGCATCAAACACTTACACTCGGCCGGTATCATTCACAGGGTGAGTGATTTCGTATTTCCGGCAACGTTAAATCGTATGTGTTATTAACTCGGTGCTTCTTGTTCATTACTGGCGGGTAGGATTTAAAGCCGAGCAATATAGTGGTAAAGGCTGACTGTACATTGAAGATTCTCGATTTTGGCCTGGCCAGAACAGCCGGGACCACTTTTATGATGACGCCATACGTTGTGACACGATATTATAGGGCGCCAGAGGTGAGAATAAGGAAAAATAAATTAATTGTGTAAGGTAATAGATAAGGATATCACGTAAGTCTCTGGAATTCGAATTTCGAGACAGATCGGTTATATTTTGACAAAATCAGGCGAAATCTCGATAATTTTATATAAGATTCGATTAGGATATATAAATGGACAAAAATAATTCAATGTGAAATTTAATTATATATATATACTTCATCTCCCCTTAATGTTCTAAGTCGTTAACCGTATAATTTTATTTTAAAAATGAATATCTGTGTGCGTAATTAAAATTAAGGAATAACGAGTATATTTGTCAAACAGGAAATAAAAAATTAAATTAAAATAAATTAAATATCTCTTAGCTTTCAGTAAAATTTTAATTCAAATAGCAAAAGATAATTTTTTTTTTTTTTTTTCGTATAACGAAATATTCATTATAACGAAAGAAATAGCCACTTTTTCGTGTCAAGTATACTCCTCGAATACAACAGTGAAAAAGTTAGATTTCAAGTTCTTAAACCGATCTCGTCCGATTTTTACCGAACTGACCCGAATATTCCGAGTAAAATTTTAATATAAATAGCAAAAGGTAATTTTATTTCGCAACGAAATATTCATCATAATAAAAGAAATTGCCACTTTTTCGTGTCAAGTATACTTCTCGAGCAGAATGAAAAACTTAGATCTTAAGTTCTTGAACCGATCTTGTCCGATTTTTACCGAGCTGACCCGAATATTCTGACTAATAGAAATTTTCGCCCGATTTCATCCGAATTTTCCCGACTTGTCCCGAGCCCAGAATCTCGAAAATTCGTACATTTTTTTTAATAAAGAATCGCGCGTTAATTATTTATTCACTCTTTACGTACCATGATTCGGACGGTATGTCGGCTCGCAGGTGATCCTCGGGATGGGATATAAGGAGAACGTGGACATTTGGTCGGTCGGGTGCATAATGGGCGAAATGATTCGGGGTGGCGTCCTCTTTCCCGGAACGGATCACATCGACCAATGGAACAAGATAATCGGTAGGTCGCCGTGATCGCTTCCCTCCGTGTACTACACCCAGGAACGTGCGTGCTTTAACACGCGCGGCTGGACGTTGTTGCAGAGCAACTGGGAACGCCGGCGCAGGAATTCATGCAGCGGCTCCAGCCTACGGTCAGGAATTACGTGGAGAACAGGCCACGGTATCCGGGATATCCGTTCGACAGGTTATTCCCGGACGTTCTGTTTCCATCGGATTCGTCGGAACACAACAGGTTGAAAGGTAAGCTTGCAGAAAAAAGTTTATCTTAAATTATTAGATTAAGTATATAATAAGAGATAAAAATATTTGCATAAAACTATTTCTTTGATAATTAGATCTTATTAATTTGAAATATAAGTTGCTGCATTAAATATATTAAATAATTGAAATAATCAAATTTTTCATTATAATCAATTTTTTCAAATAATCAATTTTTTCGTTTGAAATATGTTAAAATATGAAATATAAGTTGCTGTATTAAATATATTAAATAATTGAAATAATCAAATTTTTCAACGTTTGAAATATGTTAAAATATGAAATATAAGTTGCTGTATCAAATATATTAAATAATTGAAATAATCAAATTTTTCAACGTTTGAAATATATTAAATTATGTAATTTTTTCATGAAAACGTTTAATGAAATATTTGAATATTATTTTCAAATCTTGTTCATCAAACAATCATTATTATATTATTTATATTAAGTCTCTCTTGATGATACAATGTATTACATATATCATTTTGTATTTTTTATACTCTCTGATTATATACTACTTTTATTCATTGATAAAATTCAAATCTCTTCAACAATATCTAAAAACATCTAAAAAATTAAATTAATTTTATATAGTACATAATAATTTAATAACATATAAATCTTCTTTTAATAAATTCATATTTAAATTTATATTTAAAAATTATGTAATTTTTAGTTATTTCATGATTATTTCATTTAATAGATAATTCAATTAATTATGATGATTGATATTTTATTTTAGTAAAATTATTTTAAACTATTTTAACGATCAATCTAAACATATACGTTTTATTCGAAATACATAGATCCAGCATTGGATTTGCTACCTTTTTACTATGCTGCTTCTCTTCCATGCGTTTTTTCTTTTCCTTTTGTGTTCCAGCTAGTCAAGCCAGGGATCTATTGTCGCGCATGCTCGTGATCGACCCCGAACGACGCATCTCCGTCGATGATGCTTTACTACATAATTACATAAACGTGTGGTACGACGAGGGCGAAGTCAATGCCGTAAGTGTCACCGATTCATCGTTAATCCCGTTAACCATGTTCGTTTCACTCATATTTCCCTCTCCATCTTCCATTTTATCTATCAATTCGGGAGTGGAATGAAGAGATGGTGGTGGGAGAGAGAAGAAAAGTATCGACCGATTCGAGTCGCGTTCCATCGAATATACATAGTCATTCCTTGGTAAAGGATGGGAAAGAAGAAAACGATGATTGTTAGGTAGTATCGCGTTTGTTACAGCCTGCACCAGGTCCGTACGATCATAGTGTCGATGAGAGGGAGCATACGGTGGACCAGTGGAAAGAGCTGATCTACCAGGAAGTGATGGAATACGAGACGAGCCATAATCCCACGACAGTAGCTCAAACGTCCGAGAGCGGCGAATCCCGGTAGACACGCAAGAACTACTTGCTACCTTTTTGCGTCAACGACGCATCTAGACTGTCCGATCTGTTACACGTACATATATATACACACGTATCCCTCCCGTATACACATAGGCATGCATACAGAGACACACATAAAACCGTATTTCAATATAAGCGTGTGTATATCTATGTATGTACGTATATATATACATATATACATACACATATATGTAGTATATATATATATTTCGTGGAAATATAAAGATGGGAAATAACGATTAGAAATCGTTTACGTCCATGATGTACGTTAAACGAAGCGCCGTTTTCGTTCGACGAAGCCAGAAAGAAAACAGGCGAGACGAAATGAATAAAATTGGAAGTGAAGAGAAACATAAAAGAAATGTGTGTCAGAGAGAGAGAGAGAGAGAGAGAGAGACAGAGACAGACGAAAAGAGAATGTAAGTGAGTGAGTGAGTGAGTGAGAGAGAGAGAGAGACGAAGAGAAAGAGTGAGAGATTGAAACTGAGCGAACGATAGTGTACGAAACAAAAAAAGAAAAAAGTAATGATAGAGATAAAATGAAAGGAAAAAGATAATCGATGAAAAAGAGAAAGAAAGATACGAGGTAAGAGAAGGGGAGGGGGGAGAGAGAGAGAGAGAGAAAGAAAGAGAGCTGTTACTTGAGGCATAACGAGCGCGCGTTTGCGAAAACGAATTCAAGATAAAAATCAATATCTGCAACCAAAGCATCGACACGATTCGGAGGTCTGCCAATCTGAACGCGTTTATTCGACAAACGGCAACGCGCAATATGTTCGTCATTCTGTTTCCGCTTGGTCTTCTCGTTCTATGTTTCAGACGTATTTATTCCCAACAAATATTCTCCGTGACCGTGAGTTTAATAAAGAAACTTGCAACAACACATTTGTCAATCGATCCCAAAGCCTGGAGTTTGTTTTTTAAACCGACCATAAATAATTCGCCGTCTTCGTTCGCGTCTCATCTCAATTATATCGCGAGTCGAACCGAACGCCGATTCTTCACGCCTTCGCCTTCTTTTCGTTTGCTTTCTTTATTCTATACTTTCTCTACTGCGCTTATTTTTCTTTGTTCCCTTTCCTTCGATCAAATATCACTCGATCTAATCCTAATCACTCTATTAATCCTTATGTCAATGTCAACAATTTTTGACATCTTCTAATTTCAATATTTTTTTAATAATAAAATTTTAAATTTTAAATATAAATAGTAATGTATCGAGCAACGATGATCTAGCTCAATTTAAAAATCTTTCAAAGAAGAATATTTGATATTCTATCATAAGTAAAAAAGTATATAGATATTTATTGATATTGACATAAAGGTTGAACGAACATAGAAAACCGGTTGAAACAAGCAATTGCCAATAAACTGCCGAAAAAAACTTGTCTCGGTTCGCGATCGTGTCGTCTCTTTATTACTGCCACCATGTTGAACGAATCACTCTTTTCTCCATGCGTACACGATCGATTCATCGATTCGTTGCGTTTGTTCTAATACGAATATATAATAAAAAACGAAAGTGATCGGGACGCATCAGCATCGAGAATAACTTCTTTGTTGTCGCGTATTATGGCAAAATGATTGATGACGATACACGACGCGCGACATAAAATGCGAGTGAAACACGTGAGAAATGTACTGCTTGAAGTAAGTACATGTTCGAAAAACGATAGGATCGATTAAAGGGTGAGGAATTGTCGGTAAGTAAGATATCGTCGATCGTAACGAACGCAACTTTCTACGTAATTCCGAAAGCGTCCAAAGAGTACAGGGTGTCGCTAAATACAAGAGCTCGAGCATTCCCTTTTCCAAGTCCGAATTTCAATTTGCCGTGATTTACGCGTTTAATCGTTGAACAAGAACATTGTGTATTTTTATAATGCGATAAATGCGTGCTTTTCTCTCATCGTTTTCGCGCGCTCGTACGCCAGTCGATATTTTATAATGCTAATACTTTGTAAGATGGAAAATCCGAGAAGGGATGCGAAAAGAAAGCGGAGATCCACCGATATATTTAAGAGATAAGTCATAAGAGAAATGATTATCGAACACGATGCCACGGTCGAATTTTTAGAAAACTGAAAGTGCAATGTCGCGGCGATTGATCTTCGAATATCACGACGACGTTATTCGCGGTTATACTTGTCGATTGTATTTAGTTAGTTAGTTCCTTAGATAAAAACTCGTTTTCCTTGTGCAATCGTGCGATATCGTTGTGCCATCGCATGACGATTAATGCCGACGCGATAACAACTAGAATATACATATATGATATATAATATATAAATCTTTCTATATATTATATTATATATTATATTATATTATATATATATTATATTATATTATATTATATTA